TCAAACAACAGTAAGACACTGCTATTTTATAAAACACTATCTACAAGGATGGCTTAAATTTTTAAAAAATGCTATTCTAAGTGTTAGGTAGAATGCAGCTACATTTCCAAGTGCAAGTGTATGAGCAGGGCAATAAAAGCTCTCACAGCTGCTGTGGAAGCACAGGTGATCAAAACCATTTGGGACAACTGACCATCTGATTGCAGGAAGACATTTGAACTTGATTATCATGAACTTTTACTCCCAGTGCATGGATACATCTAAAGGAATTTACATAGCATCCTGTCCATAGCTGCCAGTGCGTGTGGGGAAGTGCCACCACCCCGGAGTGGACTGAGGAAAATGGCGGTGTACCCACGTCGTGGAATGTCATAGTGCAGAGCGATGGAAACAAGGCAGCTGCAGACAGCTGCAGCGTCAGTGGGTTTTCCAATCATCACATGGCTGGAAATAATTTATATCCCATTTATGTAAGTCTATAATTGAAAAATTTATATTCTAAATAAGCAAAAGAGAAAAAGCAATTTAAAATGTATAAGATAAAAAGCCAGAGCTGAGCTTACTTCTAAGGAATAAATATAGGCTTGCAACTGAGGAAGGTTTTGTTTATATGCTGGCATTGGAATATTTCTTAATTTGAGGGGTGATTACACAGCTGTTCACTTTATAACCTTGCATTTAAATGTGCATTATAATTGTATTTAATTTTCTATAGCAAGTTTAAACATGGTGCTTAATTATTTCCTTGCTATTTTAAAACTTAATAGAATTTCTAGTTTATTTCTCTGTACTTCAATAACCCACATGCATCTTTTAAAAGTTTTTCATTGAACTCTTGTTCTGTTGGATTATTTACTTTTTGGAGAAGTTAGAATCATTAATTTTAATGCAATAAATAGGATACATGATATATTTAATATATAAAAGACATCACATGAGGCAATCATTAAGTATTGAACAATTTTGAGGAAATGTACAGCCATGTGATTTCTTCTGCTCCGTATTAAACTGAGGGCTTGTCTGGGAGCAGGGATACCCCGAATGACTGCCCATTTGACTGCTGTTGCAACCGTGTGACTGGGGGAGCTGAAAACTGGCTGGGTCTTCTCTTCATGACAACTCAGGACTCCACATGAAAGTTGAAATTGTTATTCCTCTAAAGCCTAGCCTGAAAGTGGCAAAGTGTGGCATCATCTGTATTCTACTTATCATCTCAAGTCACTAGCAAACCAGGACTCAAGGAGAGGAGTAGCATGAGTATATAGCAAAAGAAGAAAATGCTGAGAGTTGTATTCAAAGGGAAATCAACTGTAGTTATAGGTTGTAACAATTGCTTGAAAGGAAACAAAGCGGAGTAAGAAGATAGAAGGAAATCAGGGATGGATGCGGATGTCTCTTGAGTACTGAAGGATGAGAATAAATCTCGGAGCAAGAAGCACAAACCAATAAAGTGGTCTTTTCAGCAATTTGACTTAAAATAAGGCTGTGGTAGTGGGAAAATGGGGTAGAAGTAGAATTAGTATTTATGAAACAAAGTGGATGGGACTGATGGGAATATACACAAGGCTAAGGGAGAACAGGATTACCAAGAGAATGCCCATTTGTGGGGAGCAACTCGGACTAGACTGTTACTGGAATTAAGACTTATTCTATGCATCTGCTTTCCCACAATATGGCGCTGAGAAGGGAGTAACAACTTCTACGCAGCTGCCTCTCGCCAACTTGAGTGATGACCTGCAGGAGCTGATCCTGCTCCTGATTGCAGGAGAGCAGCGTAGTCAGCATGTGGGTAGCAGAGTTGGGATTGGTGGAAGAGGACTATAAAGGAGGAGAGAGACAACATGCACCAGGAACATCTATCTGAAGGAACACCTGTGCAGCCCCCGAGAGAGCCGGCCGGCAGTGTGCCACTCCCCCGGGGAAGTGGGGAAAGTGGCAGGGGGAACCATCCTTCCACGGAGGTGGAAGCGTCAGTAGCCAACCTGGGAAGAACCAGCAGCAAACCCGGGGAGGGCTGAGCAGACAAAAGAACAACGCAGGGTCCTGTGTCGTTCCTCCACAAAGACGGGGAGCGACACCCATTTGGCTGTTTCAAGGAGCTGTGGCAGGAGGAAGGATGCTGTGGCTCTACGTGGAGGGTATGGGTGTGCAGCATGAGCACAGACACAACACAGGACCCCAGCAGCCGAGAGCCTCACCACCAGCTTTGGAGAGTGAGATGAGACCAGACTGTAGCAGCCCAAGCCACTGATGATATAGCTGCAAGGTGAGCCTGGTGTGAATCGAGCCTGGAGTCCTGTCAGGGACAGAGTAGCTACCAATCTAGAGGAAAAACAGAGGCACGTTTCTCTCTCCCTGTCCCTCTGACAATGATGCCCTGCGACTGGCCGAGAGAGGGTGGGCGCCATTTTGGACATACGTAACAGCTGTGACAGCTTGGGTCCATGCGCCCAGCAACCAGCAGAAAGGAGACACTTGAGTCCAGCTAGGAGGATTGATGGGGGCTGAGCACTTGTGTAGGTCTGTGAAGTGTCCCCAGCCTCCCCACACATGGCAGGCTCTGGGACTCAAACAGCCTGGGGAGAGTACCCAGAGGTAACTTGCTCTGGGAGCATCTTCGCCTCTCTAGACAGGACAGGCCGGCAAGGCAGAGCAGATTGTCGGTGCCCCATGACTGCAGGAGCCTTGGGTGCTGGGACTATGTGAACACTGTGGCTGTGTGGAAGGAAGCAAGGTGTGGCTGGGTCTCTGGGCAGTTGCAGTGGGTGGCTCCACGTACCTCGGGTGGGTCACTGCAGCAGGGTCTGTGCTAACGCTGAGGACTGCATGGAACCTTTGTGTAGTTCTTGAGGCGGTGTGGATGAATATTACACCCACTAAGACCTACCATATGACTCAGCCATTCCACTCCTGGGAATTTACCCCAGAGAAATAAAATCAGCATCCGGAAGAGTTATCTGTACCCCCATGTTTATTGCAGCTCAACTCACAATAGTTAAGATATGGAATCAACCCAGGTGTCCATCAACAGAAGAGTGGAAAAGCAAATTATGATATATGTACACCATGGAATACAACACAGTGGTAAAAAAAATGAAATCCTGTCATTTCCAACAAAATGGATGCAACTGGAAACCATTATACTTAGTGAAATAAGCCAGTCCCAAAAGGACAAGTACCATATGTTCTCCCTGATCTGTGGTAACTAAGAGTGGTTAATAGAATGAAATTGACACTTTGAGATGTGATGATTTTGAATAGCCCCTGCCTCCTTGTTGAGGAACAGTTTTTTCTTTATATTTGTTTAATTCTTTACTTAATGTAGGGTTAATCTTATGAATATAAAGTTAATTGAAGATAGATCTTAGTAAAAAATAAGAATAGGAATGGGTGAGGGAAGAGAAAGACGTGTGGGAGTGTGGGCAGGAGGGACGGTAGGGTGGGGAGAATCATTATGTTCCTAAATTTGCATATATGAAATGCATGAAGTTTGTATACCTTAAATAAAGGTTTCTATATGAAAAAAGTAAAAAAAATTAAGTGTAAAACAGAATTGCCCATGTGATTATAGAGTAATAAAGATTTTTAAGTACAAAGAAAAAATCATGCATAATTTTTTCATAATATACATTTCCATGAACTTTTTGGAGATTCCTTGTATGTATGGATTTCGATTATTTTGCTCTCAAATAAACTTAAGCTTTAGTTCCATTTCTCAGAAAAAATGCAGAATTTCCTGAAAAGATAGGCAGTGCCATAGTAAGGAAACATTAGCAGCACCATAAAGTGGTTGACAATGCTGTTGGAGCTCACATTTATGAGAATCCAATGTGACAATGTATTGGGCACGTCATATGTGATCCCACATACAATCCCATATAAGATCAAAATATTGTAAATCCAGCTGACTTATGAGGGTTCTTCAAAAAGTTGTGGAAAATGGAATTAAAAACATAAGCTTAGTTTGTTGTAAAAAGTTTTGAATTCATGTATAATTTTTTTTGGAATATGCATTTTCCATGAAATTGTGAAGATTGTGAAGACCCCTTGTAAAAAATTCAGTGAATTGTTTGGATAACTGATTAATCATTTGAGAAAAAATAAAGGGATTAACTCTAAACACATCCTACAAAATCAAGTATAGTGAGCTTAAGTATTAAAGATTACAATATAACCTTTCAGAAATGCTAGAGAAATAGGCACTTCATTTTAGAACAGAGAGGCCTAAGAATGGCAGAAAAGCAAGGAACCAAAAGGAAAGAGTGGGTGGATTGGTGCATGTGCGAATCAACTGCTTCTGCATTAAGACAAAAGCATAAACAAAATTAGAAGGCAAAATACATACAACCTATGGAGGAAACGGCTTAATATCGAAATATTCAAGCACAGGAAAGAAAGAGGATAAAAAAATAAAGAGAAATTTCATGAAAGGAAGAGAACTGTCAAAAAGTATAAAATTGTTCCATCTCACTAGGAACCAAGATCATAACTGTAAAATAAAGCAATAAGAAACAACTTTTTATATTTAAATAGCAGTAAAAATTCTTTTTGCCTTAAATTTGTATTCCCCAGTGTTTGACCAGCAATGTAGCCTGGACTGCTAGTGGCAGGGTAAACTGCTGAGAAGGAAAACACCTTCAAGAACGATCTTCTCTGTGTGGATCTGAACTTCACCTTCTGAGAATTAAGAGGTTAAAAAATTAGAAAGTGCATCAGACTTGTGTCCCAAATTATCATTGTGTATGATGATGATATTAAGTGCAGGGTAACTAAATGCCAACTAGCAGTCCCTTAATATTAGCATACATGCAGAAACACATCGGGCAGGATATATTCCAACATATTACTCTAGTCATGAGATTGCTTTTCTTTTTCTTCTTTTTGTTATTCCTTTCTGAATTTTCTTTGAGTAAGACCAAGATCATTTTACTCCGCTAAAACACATCCGCATGCATTTTCGGCGCCGACACAGAACTCACAGGCTGCAAGGACACACTTACTCTCCCAGGAAGACAATATCCGTGTTGATTTCCCCCGACTTGTGGTGGAGGAAGTTCCTCAGGAAAGCCGTCACACTGTCCACAGTGATGTTTCCACAGACCACGATGTACCTGGGCAGCAAGGACAGGGGAGGGCACCCGTGAGGAGCTGTAGCGTCTTCCCGTCAAGGTTTGCTCATGGACAATTCACTTAGAGTTAGTTTGGAATAAATCTGGCATTTGAATCACCCAGATTCTAAAGACAAAAACATTAGGGACTGCATTGCCAATGTGCAAAAGGAGTGTTGGACTTCTGTAGTCTTCTAGACCGTTTGAAGTTGAGCATGCCCCAGACTTCTGAGTTTCACACAGCGTTCCAGGAGCACAAGAGTAACTATCATTACTGCTAAATTTTTTTCTCAGTTAGTTCTAGCTTATGAGAGTGGTTCAAAAAGTTCATGGAAATTGGAATGAGAAACGTAAGTTTATCTGGGAGCAAAAAAATTTGAAATCCATGCATAGTGTTTTCATCATCCATATGTTCCACAAACTTTTTGAAGATGTTTCTGTGTAATGACCTTTCATTTCATTCCTAATTAACTGAGTTTTTCCTCCTCTTGGTAGAGAGCTGATGCTCAAATGGCTCATTAACTTTCTCCGTAACTAAATATTGTGGCTGAGGTAGCACCACATTCTAAGGTTGTTTTGGTTTATAATTTTATGCCTAAAATTATCTAGTAGTTGTAGAAAAGTGAGTGCAATGGAGAGATAAGTAGGACAGGTGCAGAAACCTATGCACATGGTGTTTGTGATGAAAAAGAGCTGCTGATTTTTTTTTACTTTAATATATTTAAAAAAGCTACGCTTCTTCTTCCCATTAGCCATGTAAGAAAACAGAAACCATAATTTTAACCTACATTAACCATAAATTTCCCCTACTTTAGTGGTTGATTCAGCATGAGTCTCCTATGCCTTTCCTGATGCAAATGGGATTTGATTTTGGCTTATCTAGTTTGTTTCACTGCTTCTCATTATTTATGGTCTCATTAATTTCATTATGTTTTATTCTTTCATCTTTGTACTCCTTGGCCAAGAGTGGTTTTCACTTAACTGCATTAAGAGATAGCCTCCTTCCCCCAAGAGAGTTATCTTTTTTGTATCTCTTGCCTATAGCAGACAGGAACTGAATAAAAATATACACACATTGAATTTAAGACTTCCAATCCATTCTCTTCTTAAATGTGAAAAAGAGTTATGGCAGCTGAAGTGATGAGAATCCACATAAACACGAGATACAGGCACCTCCAGTTTCATTTCCCTCCTGGGAAAGAATGCTTGAATGGCCGGCGCCGTGGCTCAATAGGCTAATCCTCCACCTTGTGGCGCCGGCACACCGGGTTCTAGTCCTGGTTGGGGTGCCGGATTCTGTCCCGGTTGCCCCTCTTCCAGGCCAGCTCTCTGCTGTGGCCAGGGAGTGCAGTGGAGGATGGCCCAAGTGCTTGAGCCCTGCACCCCACGGGAGACCAGGATAAGTACCTGGCTCCTGGCTCCTGCCATCGGATCAGCGCGGTGCGCCGGCCGCAGCGCGCCGGCCGCGGCGGCCATTGGAGGGTGAACCAACGGCAAAGGAAGACCTTTCTCTCTCTGTCTCTCTCTCTCTCACTGTCCACTCTGCCTGTCAAAAAAAAAAAAAAAAAAAAAAAAAAGAATGCTTGAACAATGTCAAAGCCCCTGGAAGGGAGGGTGGAAACTGCTCCTCCCTTCAGGAAACTCAGCACACAGCGAGCCCTCGACAGTTGGGGGGTGGGGTGGGATTTTGGCTAAGATAATTGAATTGAATTATTTAAAATATTAAACTTGAGGGGTGGCATTGTGGCATAATAAGTAAACCTGTTGCCTGTGGCTCTGGCATCCCTTATGGGCACTGGTTTGATTCCCAGTTGCTCACTTCCAATCCAGCTCTCTGCTATGGCCTGGGAAAGCAGTAGAAGATGGCCCACGTGCTTGGGCCCTGCACCCACATAGGAGACCTGGAAGAAGCTCCTGGCTCCTGGCTATTACTTGGTCCAGCCCTGGCCATTGCAGTCATTATGAGAGTGTACCAACAGATGGATGATTTCCTTCTTTCTCTGTCTGTCTCTTCCTCTCTCTCTCTCTCTGACTTTCAAATAAATAAATAAATAAATATTTTTAAAAAATAAATAAAATGTGAAAGTTGGCTTTAATTTGATCCATTGTGTAAAGTCAGCCATTAGTTAACCATATGATAAAATGAGTAAGAAAATAAGTAATGATACCAGAGTAGTGATGAGGGATGCATAATTAATATTTATTGGCAGTAAATTACAACTTTTCTGTCATGGTGGTTCATTTACTGCTCTTCTGAGCATTTGCCTAGTAGTTTGTATGTAGTAGCAAATACATTCACTTGGCATTTATTCTTGCACTGTTCTCTTTGTTGAGGGAGGACCTTGCCAATATGAGTGAATTTTAAACTTTGCAGATTGTGGAATGAAAAGATGTTTATTTGATGCAAAAATTTTAAAATCCATGCATAATTTTTCATAACATGCATTTTACAAGAGCTTTTTGAAGATCCTTTGTATGAATGGATTTCAAAATATTTTTGCACCAAATAAATGTATCTTTTCTATCCACTTTCCACAAACTTTTTGAAATACACTCACGTTGTCAGCTTTGGTTCCATCACTAGACCAGGCAACACATGTCTACCGTGGGGTACAGGACTTAACAGAATATCTCAAACTGTGGAAATTATAACTGAAAGGCTACATACTTCTTCCCTTTGACCACGCCATAGGATCTGGTGTAGTTCCTCGTGTTAGCAAGAAGTTCCACCATTTCAGGGACATAGTTGGCAGATAATATCTAAAATGATCAGAAAATAAAACCTTTGGTTTCATTATTTGGACAGATTCCCCGAAAAGTCCAAGACTATTAAGGAGAAAGAAGGTACATACAATGTTCTTTTGTCTACAAGGGTCATTACGATGAACTACATGCTAAGAGAGATTTGGTTAAAATATAAGAAAATTCTCCTCTGTATTCAACAATGAAAGCCAAGCCATAAGGCAACTTTCCCACTGGTTCTGCCCATCATCATATCTAGATTCCCTCCTCACTCTGACTTCATTCTATTTTGAGCCCTTGGGAATAGTTAAACACATGGGTATTGTGGCTCCACAGATTAAGCCAACACTTGGAACCTCCACATCTTATATTGGAGTGATGATTAGAGTCCAGAATACTGTATTTCTGATATAGTTTCCTGTTAATGTAGTGGAGCAGATAGATGATGGCTCCAGTGCTTGGGGCCCTGCTACCTACATAGGAGTTCCAGATGGAATTTCTGGCTCTTAGCTTAAGCCTGGCCCAGCCCTGGCTATTCTGGGCATTTGGGGAGTGAATCTGTAGATAGAAAATATTTCATTTTCTCTTTCTCTTTCTTTCTCTCTCTGTGTGTGTGTATCTGTTTCTCTCTGACACACACACACTCCCTCTCTACATTGCAAGTAGATGATAAATAAATGCACAAATAAATATTGACAAATGAGGTAATGATTGACATCAATAGGGATTATCAGAGAGGTGGAGTGAAGAATTTTGTTAAGTTAGGGAATTGAATTGAAGGTCACTAAAAGGAAAGAATGCTTCCTTTGCCTTTGCTACACTCCTGAACCAAGCCAAGTTGTTCACTCATTTGAAATTAAATGCTGGTGTGCTGATGGCTTACTCATTTGGGCTGGGAGGGACAGATCTTCCTTCAGATCAAATCTTAAATGAAGAAAGACTGTATTGTGCTTGGTCAAAGATGAAGGTGGACAGGGTTGCACAAATCTACACAGAAGCCAGTAAGGGAAAATCAGCTCTCTTTGTCCACCATCATTTAACTCTTGCAACCATGCACTGACATTACAGGCTTCAGGGAATGCAATTCTGAAATTATGGGACCTAGGCACTTTTGCATTTTCATATGACACCTGCTCTGAATAATGCAATATTGACCTGTATGGCTTTATTTCTCACCATTAGCAAAAATGTTTTTTGGTTTATGCAGCTATATTCAAAAAATATTAAAAATATTATTCACCAAACTCCCCAGAATGAAGAACATGATGAAGGTCTGTCCTAAGAAAGTCTTGGCCACCACATCGCCAAAGCCAGCTGTTGAGGTTGTCGCCACAACCAGGTAAATGGATTCAAAGTATGATATATTCTGTGAATTTCTACCTTTGAGCCATGGGTCACCGGAATTTTCCACCTGTCCAGAGAAAGAAGACTCAGGAATGATCACTGAATGATATCTAAGGGAAGGTTTTCAGGAATAGGCAAAACATTGGGCTGATTTCACTCCATTCCACCCCAAGGACATAAATGATTCTCAGGCTGCAAAGGGTTCGCAGACTGTGGACAATGACTATGAAGCTGTGGATTCCTTAGTTGGGATTATGGCTGTGGTCTGAGGGCTGTGTGGCTGGAGTGCAGCATTTGGAATACTTGGTAGGGACGGCTCTCCGTGTGTCTTGTGCACATCATCACACCTGCAGTCAGCAGACTCCAGGGGCTCTCAGACTGAGCAATTACTACGCATTCTCATTCTCAAGCTGTTTCAGGAGTTTCATTAAGGAAGGCAGCAGGTAGAGAAACACTTCATTTCATTGAGCTTGTGCTTCTGAGTGCTAGTGTCTAAGGAAAATCAACAAGTTTCCCAGGTCACTTCCTCCTCCGCTGCAAAATCTACTTAATGATTAAGGTAAAAATCCTCTGGGGGCTGACACTGTAGCACAGCAAATTGGACTACTGCTTGCAATGCTACTGCTTGCAATGTGGACATTGGATTGCCAGTTCAAGTCCTGGTTGCTCTGCTTCTGATTGAGCTCCCTGCTAATATGCCTGGGATGGAAGATGGTCCAAGTATTTGGGCCCCTGCCACCCATGTGGGAGACTCAGGTGGAGTTCCGGGCTTTTGGCTTTGACTTAGCACAGGCCCAGACTTCGCAGTCATTTGGGGGTGAACCATTGGATGGAAGATCTCTTTCTGTGTCTGTTTGTGCTTCTCTCTCAGTCATTCTGCCTTTCAAATGAATTTTAAAAAATCTTTTCAAAGAAAAACAACAAAAATATTTTCTTCTGATTTTCTCTTTCAGTCTTCACATTTTAAGGAAACTAAATTCATCAATTATCTTTTTGTATTTAAAATAAAGAGTAACTTAGGCACTTTTATTTATGGTGTATAAGCATATAGATACATTTGCTGTAAAATATTAATATAATATCACAATGCGTATTTTATGATATTTATTATTTTTATATCATATTATTATGTTAAATAAGAGGTTTCTCCAAAAAGCTCATAGAAGATGCAATTAAGAGATCATTTTGGTACAAAGACTTTCTGAAGACCCCCCATATGCATGGGTTTCAAAATTTTTTGGATACGAAAGTAATCTTATGTTTTAATTCCATTTTCTGTGAACTTTTTGAAGTACCCTAGTGCATGTAATATTTTATATATAATACATACTTATATGCAATTAATTTTTCATCTTTCCACCTTTTGACTTTTCTTCCTCATAGCTTACATGTTTCCTAGTTGTTTTCTATTTCTATTTAGCACAAAAGATGATCAGGTGCTGAAGATGTCTGGGGGAAATAGGTGCTTCACTTTGTTGTTGAAAACTGGAATGGAGATTAGCAGTCATGTTGTTGGCTCAGCTACCCGATCACTTTTTAAAAGTAAAGCACCATTTTCAAAAGTGATTCTTTCTTTCTTAAGTGTGAGGTTGAGAATATGGGTTCCTGTAATCCTGACTCCCCGAGAGGACAGAGCTTGTGTGTTCTGGGCCCAACTCCCATGGCTAATAGTGAATACCTCTGAGAAGTCAACAGTCTGCTTCCAGGAGCTTGAAGGACAGTATCTAACCCAGGAGCACCTGCTATGTTTGCAGCTAGGACGAGCACCCCCACTCTCTCCTGTAGTCTTAGGTGATAGCCACAGGGCTCCACAGTGGGCACTGATGGTCACTGGGCTGCCAGCGACTCCAGAGCCAGGGCTGAAAAATCCAGGCATCTGCCGTGGCTACTGTGGTACTTATTCAGGACAATGTCTCCTGCCTGAGTACTGAGAGGGGTTGTGGCTAGTTTCAGACACTTTGATGGTGGGAGACACACACTTTGGAAGATTATGGGTTACAAGGATGGAGACAGGGACTCACCAGGTTCCCCTCCACTGTTCAAAGAAAGGGCATTAGGCACTGTGACTAGATGCTTACCAGGTGAATGAATCCTGCCGCCGTGAACCAGCTGCTGAGAACTATAGCCATCACTTTGGAAAACTTTACTGAATTACTAGAGAAAAAGAGACAAAGAACTGGTGGGTCTCCTGTGACAGGTCAAATTCCACAGCAGCACAAGCAGCTCATCCTGGGATGTTGCTACTTGAGATGAGGTTCGTGGACCAGAAGCCATGATGGCATTTCCTGGGAGCGAATGAAGAAGCACACAGTCCAGGTCCTGGCCCAGTCTATGCATCCGCAAAGTCATGAGACCCTCTGTTTGATCTCTGTGCACGTTAGAGTCTGAGAAGCACAGAATACAAACACCCCAGGCCACATAACACTTCTTTCAAGATTTGGATTTTGCAGTGACATCTGTTAGCCTAGCCTTTAAAAATATACTGTGCATGGATCTGTGAAAGGTAAACTTAATAGATTGCTACATTGTCTAAAGTAATAGCTCAAAATGCCTTATGTCGGGAGTCCTGGGAGTGGGCTGGCAAAATGGAATTTAGGGTTGATCACAGAGCAGTGGAGTCACTCACACCGTGGCATTCATTCAAAGGTTGTGGGGAAGAGAGGCATGCACAGAGGCTCCCCTTCTAAGTAGTGCATAGAGTTTAGTTGGAATCCCTGTGGCTTTCAGGCAGCCCAACCTGTCACACAAGAACAGCCTTGCCCATTCCAAACTGTCTGTAATGTTCAATCACCTAGCAGTGAAATGCGCCTGAACAACACTGTGTGGTATTTCTAGGAAGAATGTAGAAGCATGGGAATTCTAAGGGACGGCTGACTCAACTTAAAACTTTAGAAGTATTGTAGTTAAAAGCTAGTTTGGATTTTTGTTGTTTTGGGCAGATATGTAGGTGGCCCTATTTCTGTAAGCAATAACTCACTGAGGCTAATGGACAATGCTCACACTCAGAGAAACTGCCTTATATTCCTAAACCTAAGAAAGGTTTACCTAACCATGGTGGGCATGATTCAAAAAACAACTGTGAAAAACAAATCTGAAATGATTTCACTGTGTGTGTGTGTGCGTGTGTGCACACGTGTATGTGGTGCAGGGACACAGAATAAAGACCTAAATGGGCTTACATATTGTAGCTTTCAAAAGCAAAGACTACAGGTGGGCATTGTGCTGCAGTGGGTTAAGCCGCTCTTTGGGATGTCTGCATCTATATTGGAGTGCTGCTTTAAGTCCAACTACTCTGCTTCCAATCCAGATTGTTGTTAATGTGCTTGGGAAGGCAGCGGATGATGGCCCAAGTGCTTGAGTTCCTGCTACCCATGTGGGGGACTTGGATGGAGTTTCTGATTCCTGTACCCATCTGAGGAGGGACGAGTGGATGGAAGATCTCTCTCTCTATGTCTTTCCCTCTCTCTCTGTTACTCTACCTTTCAAAATAAAATAAATAAAAATTTTTCAGAAAAGAATAAACAAACTAAGAGAATTGCAAAGTTTTCATCCAGTGTGCATGCAACGCAATGTAATGGGAGAAAGTAAATGAGTCATAGCTTGAGAGTAAAGAGATATCACTACTTGACTGAAATTCTGTTGTAAATTGTGTTGAGTTGAAGATTGAGTTCACATTTTCATTTTGTAATCCAAACTAGTCAGTAAGAAGTATGTCTGGCATGGTTAATGTTTACCTGGTCTTGATGACTTGTAGAATTTGCAAGATTTGAGGAAGTTCTAGTAGCCGCAATGCTCGTAGGAACCTTAAACCTACAAGGCAACAGAAAGGAGAAAGCTGCAAAAAGACAGTCACTCTATGGCATAGCCTGAATCATAGCCCGACTAGGGCTGCTCACGTTCCACTTTTCCCTTCATGTTCAAATATAATGTCACAGGTTCAAGAGCCTGAGCCATAGTTCCAATCCTGACCAGGGTTCTTGCCAACTAAGATGATCTCCTAAACTTCACAGCTCCTCTTATGTAAAAGAATTTTACCAGTACCTACCTCATGGAGTAGCAGATTAAACACAAAGCATGTAGATGCACCCCTCACATAAAATAAGCACTATTCATCTTGCTCTATTAACTTAACATATTCTCCATAAATCATCACTTGAGCTCATGATCATGCACTCCCCATGGCATGTTTCTTCATCTTTGTGAGATGTTTTACTTTAGATGATTTGGTAATAAGGCAAGGTATAGAACTGGTGTTTATTTTTAGATAATTAATGATAACCTCAAATCACAAAAAAACTGATCAAGGCTGCACAGTATCCATGCGCTGGCAATGCATCAGCCTTGAAGACAAAACAGCTGATTGCATGATTCTCAAACATGTCGCAGCATGTTCAACTGGACATGCCATGACGATGAGTTTTGAAAGATCAAGGGTGGCTTCTCATCTCTCACAGCCCTTATGGGATCCCAGCATAAAAATGCCTCTAAGGGAATGGCTTGTGGGAGATTTGCCTCTCAAATTATGTGTACAGATATCCCATCAACAACTGTTGGGCACCTACTGTATACCAGGAATAGGGCTGGGTCTTGAGAGTGAAAACATGGTTTCTGCAAATATATTACAAAACTACACAAACAGGGTGAGCGATTTTTTTCATATGACAGTCAAGTATTAAAGCAAAATGAAGGACAGACACTAATAAAGGAAAGTTGAGATTTTAAAATAGATATTACCACAGACACCCACAGCACACTCACCTAGCCAATTGATCTTCAAATAATAAGAAATAAAAGTTGGTGGGATGGTAAAAATGTCTACAATGGAATTCATCTCCAGCCAGAACTTGATCTTGTCATCAGCTGCAAAAAACTATGAAATAGAAATGGAACATTCAAGCTTCCATTAGCCACAAAGCTTTCTCAAGTGAACACAAGAGATAGCATGATTCAGCTACATTGCATTCATCCATTGAAGTTTTTATCTCAGTCTATTTTACTTTTATATAAATGCACACATATTTACATAGATCTACCAAGGCATATGCATATGCAGTACAAAAGATTGTACTTTTACTAGGCACTCAACAAATGAATACATAGTCATATTACTTACTAGATGTTGAATCTCTCAGTTTCCCCTAGACCTTCCTGCTGGCCAATTATGTACAATAATTATATACACAAATCCCCTTATTTGTGAGCAACAAAGACACATAATTTAGGACGTTCTCCAATGGAAAAGGTGTAGTTTTCGGGAAGCTTGGCTGGCCTGGCCTGTGTTTATGAGCTGCCCTACTTAGGTTAAGCATGCATTTCCAGAAGGGAGAATCTGCTGCTAGAAGCAGGTTGTGATGATGAGTGTGTTCTGGGTAAGCAGTAAAGGACAGTCATAGGCACATATTCTATGGTGCTTCAAAAGATTCATGGAAAAATGGAATTCAAAGGTAAGTCTATTAGTACAAAAAATTTGAAAATTCATGCATAGCTTTTCCATAATAAGTTTTATTAACTCTTGAAGACACTCAAATACATGGACTTCAAGATTTCGTGCACCAAAACAAACTTATGTTGTAATCCTATTTCATGTGAACTTATTGAGATACGCTTGTGTCATAATACACTTATATTAAAAAGATAAATCTATGTATACATGTATATATAAACATGTTTTAATATACATGCATACAGAGAGGTCCTTCAAAAAGCTTATGGAAAATGTTTATTTTGAAAACACTACTGGGGCCAGTGCTGTGGCGCAGCAGGTTAACACCCTGGCCTGAAGCGTCAGCATCCCATGTGGGCGTCAGTTCTAGTCTCAGCTACTCCTCTTCCAATCCCGCTCTCTGCTGTGGCCTGGGAAAGCAGTGGAGGATGGCCCCAGTCCTTGGGCCCCTGCACCTGGGTGGGAGACCCAGAAGAAGCTCCTGGCTCCTGGCTTCAGATCATCTGGACCACCTGGGGAGTGAACCATCGGATGGAAGACCTCTCTCTCTCTCTCTGCCTCTCTTTTCTCTGTGTAACTCTGACTTTCAAATAAATAAATATTTTTTTTGACAGGCAGAGTGGACAGTGAGAGAGAGAGGGAGACTGAGAGAAAGGTCTTCCTTTTGCCGTTGGTTCACCCTCCAACGGCCGCTGCCAGTGCGCTGCAGCCAGCGCACCGTGCTGATCCAAAGCCAGGAGCCAGGTACTTATCCTGGCCTCCCATGGGGTGCAGGGCCCAAGCACTTGGGCCATCCTCCACCGCACTCCCTGGCCACAGCAGAGAGCTGGCCTGGAAGAGGGGCAACAGGGACATAATCTGGCGCCCTGACTGGGACTAGAACCCGGTGTGCCGGCACCGCAAGGCAGAGGATTAGCCTAGTGAGCCGCAGCGCCGGCTAAATAAATATTTACAAAACAAACAAATAAAAGAAAACACTGTGGATGGATTTCAAATTTTTTTGCATTTCAGTTTCATTTTTCCACAAAGTTTTTTAGCCTCATGTGTGGGGTAGGTGAGTGTGGATGTACACTATGTGAGTACAGTCTCCCACAAACATGGAACCGGTAAACACATTGAAATGTAGGTCTAGCACCAGTGCTTAATAAGTGCCTGTGGAATTAAAGAACTATTTAATAAGTGAATGTTACAAAAATGAAGAAAAATACAAAAGCATTTTATACAATTATACAGTGCATATGCCATTAATGGAGGAAAATGACATCTCATCTTGAGGAACTTGTTATTTGGTTCTGCCAGCTGGTAATTATTAATAAAGGTGTCTCAGTAGTAGATGGCAACCAATAAGAAAGACATTATGATAGGGTGATGGCATTTAACAAAGAAATCATTTTCATTTGTATTGTAATTTTTTACCTTGTTTATAATTCCAACTTCGGGATGGATGGAATTTTTAGATCTTATCGTCTATTTAACAATTTAGGGCATGGATATTTCATCTTTATAACCGGAAAACTTAGTGAGACCTTGTAAGTAAGGAACACACAGATCTCCAGTTGTACTGTGTTGGGTGTTCATCCCCACTTCCAACAGGTACTTACTCTCAACCCGAAATAGAAACTGAAGAAAGCATTGAAAATCAAATCAACAGGGATGGTTTTGTCTTGGTATGAAGAACATCTTCCAACAGGGCTGGGAAAGAGACAAGGGCACTTGTAAAGATGCATATTGGGAAAGCTATGTCTATGTAACAGCAAGCAGAGGGGATAGGGCAGGGATTTTCTATTCATTTTCCATGAAGGGTCAATCCACACACATTCAGATCTCAAGGAAATTACTTTTCCCTTGGGAGTAGAATTATAGATGAACAAAATGATTCAACAGTCTATGGAACTAAAAATAATAGGAAAATTACCAACCATTACTTTTGTAAGATTTATTGGTTCTGTTTCAATTTTATCATTAGGAATTGGAGCCAGAGAGATTATGTGGCTCTCCTTGGTTTACAAGATGATTTGTGCTGTCTGGAAGGTTTAGCTTCTGCACTTTTTCACTTTGACTCTGAGTCCAATATAATTATCAGAGGACAGACAGTACAGTTCAATTAGATTGAGGATTGTCAAAACAAAACGAAACGAAATGAAAACCTGCCTTAACCTGGCACTTTAAGGAGGGAGTGTCTTCAATCGGAGCAGACAATGATCTGGTTCTTTATCTCAGGTGTGAGCTAGCATTTGCTTTCTCAAAAAATCATCCCACATCATTGGGAACCTACGAGATGGAGCCACTATGGAACTTCTGATTCGATACCCGAGGAACCCAAAGATGTTAATGGCTTCATAATGAGTTCAGGTGCAGAGATGACTTTTGGGGGCTTGGAGCCACCAGAGGCCCTAGAGCAGATCTGCACCCACTGCCCCACTCCCCCAACCCTTAGATATGGAAGATGGCAGCACACAGGAGAAACATGTGCTTTCATTGCAAAGTGGGGTTGAGTGTTTAATGGAGGAGCTGAACCCTTACCATTCTTTTTTAGTTTATGTGTGTGTGTGTGCATGTACTAAGCATTACCCCAGAGGAGAAAATTTCAAGTTAGTTCAGCAAGTGACTGAGAGGGTAGGGAGGAGAGATTTGGGTTTGTACTCACTCGGTGGAATCGATGAAATAGATTATAAGAGACCCGATGCTTAGTACAAAGACGAGGATCACCTAGAAACACAAAAACATGGACAGGTGTACAAATCCATTTTATTGATATGCAAAAGATTTTTTTATGTACTGTGTACACTGTTACTGCACAGGTCAGGGAAGAGGAGTTGTGCTTTCTCTTTTCATGCCCCTGTGTATGTGTAGAGATTTATTCAGTCATTGTCCAAGAAAGATCTACTGGATCTTAGGAGAACGCTAAAAAGGAAACATGTACCCATTTTGCTTATGTAATTTTAACTCCCTCCAACTTCAGAATTTGTTTTTCTTCCTTCTCTTGGAACTCTCTCAACATTTATTGAATGTTTAACATGCAAGAAAATGGGGACTGTTGGATAAAGACCCTAAACTTGAATGCCTATGATATTGTGGAAGAAACACTCCAAACTGGTCCACCCTGGTAGAGAGAATTTGGACAGGAGTGAAAATGCTACAAGTGGGAAGAAGAAAATGAGTGCTCTCAAAATGTCCATGTATTTGGTCTGAAAGATAAGCGGGGCTTGCAGAATGTCATCAGAAAACTGTCCAACCAAAGCCTCCTTGCATTTGCAGGCAGTCTCTATGACTGTTGAGATTACCTTTAGGTAATTAAATACCTGTCAGTCATTTCTGGTTTCTTTGTTTAACACCATTGTATTGATAATTATTAACTGCTTTTCATGAAATCTTTTTTCCTTCTCTTTACAAAATGTGTTTTTTTCTCTCTTTCTAAGTCCCATAAGAAATTCAAATATACATCATGTATTGGTGGACTTCTGGCAAGGGGCTAGCGTGCCAGGTGTTTACCCTCCAAACCAAGGAAATGAAGAACAAAGAAAAAATAAAGAAGAAAAGTTTAGTTTTATTGAAACTCAAAAGAGTCCCAACCTCATACACAAACCCATAGAAAACCATCAAGGAGTAAGAACTCACAGCAAATGTACAATAAATCAACAGAGGACGCTCAGAACTCTTCCCCTGTGAGCACAGTTTAGGGAGTTAGAGATGCGGGAGATAAGTCGGAGAAGATCTGCAAAGGTTTCTTAGGCTGCAGGGGTGGAAGTTCTTGCCCTAGCGCTGTAGAGGCTGTGGATTGGAGGAGCAGCTTAGAGGAGCAACTCCGAGGCTGGAGTCCCTGAGGAAGGACCCCTGCGTTAGCAGCAGCACTTCTGCTTCTCAGAAGCACCTTGGAAGGTAGGCAGAGACGCATCAGCTGAAGACTGGGATCCCACCCAGAGTAAGCCTTGTTCGCAGGGTTGGTGACCACAACTTTATCCCTCGTGGTTGCCTTTGAGGGGAGAAACACAGTCAATTCAGACTTTGATTTCCACAAACTTAAAAAATTCCCATTGAGTTAGTGGATAGTTGGGTGTGTCCCCAGAAAACAATGACCCATGCAGCTAAAAGGGACACTGTGGCAGGCATAGGAAACCCTTTTTCCACCAAGGGCTGTGTGGATACATGTAGCATCTTTTCCAGGCCATACACAATTATCAACTTAAGAATTAGATTGCTATAGATGTACTGAATTTTGAGTCCCACCAGCAGTTGCTTTAGCAAGGCCAGATCAAGTGATCTCACAACCCCTATATGGCCCAGGGGACAGGTGTTCCCCACCCCCGCAGGTCTAAATCTTGGTTGTGGATGTTAGTAGATGTTGGAAAACTGCCAGTGATAAGAGAGGCATAAGAAAAAAGGAGGATCAGCCAGAGAGTATGGAAGGACCTCCCATGAATGAGATAACACAGAATAGGAGGTCACTCGTTTCCAAATGACTACTGTTGACATCTGGGAGGGGTCACAATGACCAATCCAGGCAGCTCAAGATCAGAGGGACAATAGGGGAACAAGGTTGAGAGTCTTGGGGCTGGAAGGAAAGTGACCAACAAGTGAACATCTCATTAAGGAAAGATAAAACAACATTTTCACAATACAACATTTAATAACTAAAGAAAATAGCAAAAAAAGCAATAAAACTTTCTTGAATTAAAGATAGATGGGACCCCCATGTTGAAAAGGACCAATGAGTAAGACATCCTGCTCTCTTCTGTATTGGAAAATACTTTATAAATGGTTATCTACAAACTAAAGATAATAAGACTGATTTCATAATTCTCATTTCTAATCTGCGTAAATCAGGATCTAGTCCTGAAAGCATAAACCACACCAGTTATTGTAAGAGAGAATTTAATTATAGAAGTTTGGTAAGTAGGATTGGAAGACCAGAAAGCCAAGAAGGGGACACTGGCATTAACACAGAGGTTGTACCTACAGAGAACTGGGGACCAACAGAAAGAGGTAGGATGATCAGAATGTGTCAGCATAAAAGGGAGGGGGTCCTTTGGAGCTGGGGTCCAGGAAGAGGAGACCCTTCACTGCTGGTAAGGCACCAGGCACAGCTACTGTAACAAGTAGCCCCCAAGCAGGTGAGGCCTATGAGACAGCACGGAAGGAGAAAACTTCTCTGGTTTCCCCGACTCCTCTTGCTCCCCCTGTTGGCGAGCTGACTGGAGAGAGTTCCTGAGTCCTGGCCCCCATCACAACTCAGAGGAGAGAAGGTGCTGAAGTACCTAGGTGATAGCTTAGTAGGCAACTTGTGACTTTGCGTGCTATAAGACATTGGAACACCTCTCAGAATATTTGAGGAAAAAGGATGGCAAACCAAGAATTCTAAATCTAACCAAAGTGTTATTTTCTTGTAAGAGCAAGGAATTAATTTTTTGAGCTTTCAAGGGTCCAGAAAGAACAATACTCTTGCTTCTCATTGCAAATAAGCAGAAGTCCTCAAGGAAAGAAAAAAAAAACCACACACAAGAAAAAATTCAGAAAGATAAAATACTTTGTATAAGAACAAGAGGTACATAATGAAACTGGGAAAATTAAGGTTTAGTTTATTTTGAAACTTTAAAGCAAATCTTATAATATGCATAATGCTAAACCTTCACTCCACCCTTATTAACACACACACGCACACATGCACACACACACAATAACAATCCATAGTTGAATTTTCAAATCAGTTCAACAATTTCTGGGAGGGAGGAGTGGCATGCAGGAAAACCATACTAAAGCTCGGGATGATATATATACATATAATATAATATATCAATAATAAGCAATATAATATAGTATAAATCATAATTTTAACATTATATAATATTAATAATCAATATGTCATATATTATGTATAATATTATTAAAGATCAGCATATTGTATATTATTTATATAATATCAGTAATATTGATATTACTATATTAATTAGTAATTATTAATAAGTAATACATTAACTATTATGTATTATAATATATATAAGCATTCAGAGACACACAGAGAAATATAGACTATATGTCATTTATCTAATGTCTGTGGTATTCTATTACAAATAGGACTATCCATGTCAGAAGATGCCAAAAAAGCATACAAAAATAATATAAACTAGAAATGTAAATATCAGTAAATGGTAAGTGCTTGTGGTGCCCTGGGAAGATTCTATGTACTATTCAATTTTTGAACTCATCTCTCAAGTTTCACAATCCCACACAATTCTACCTCTGCAGTAAAATAAGGGAGATCACAGGCTGGCGCCGCAGCTCACTAGGCTAATCCTCCGCCTGCGGCACTGGCACCCCATGTTCTAGTCCCGGTTGGGGCGCTGGATTCTGTTCTGGTTGCTCCTCTTCCAGTCCAGCTCTCTACTGTGGCCTGGGAGGGCAGTGGAGGATGGCCCAAGTCCTTGGGCCCTGCATCCACATGGGAGACCAGGAGAAGCACCTGGCTCCTGGCTTTGGATTGGCGCAGCACCGGCCATAGTGGCCATTTGGGGGGTGAACCAATGGAAGGAAGACCTTTCTCTCTGTCTCTCACTGTCTAACTCTGCCTGTCAAAAAAAAAAAAAAAAAAAAGTAAAATAAGTGAGATCATAATAGAGCTCAGTGGTGCAGCCAATAACCATTCTCTGTTTCTTTGCTACCAGATGCCCCATTTATTTCTTATCTAATCTACTGATATTTAGCTATGCTATCATGCAGCAAATTCAATCTCTAAATATTATAAATACCAATAAACTGGATGACCAGAGGGAAGAATGATTAAATCCCCTTGGTGAGTAACAAATTAACGTATTGTTACATCAATACAAGGATGGAATTCAGCTACATGATATTTACAAGAGACACACAAGGAAAGCACCAGGAAGGATGACAGCTTGAAAAAGAGTGGGCAAAGGCCTCCCAAGCAAGCACTAATAAAATGGAAGTGAGAGAGCCTGTGCTCCCTATGCTAATATTATATTCTCAAATATTCCAGCACAAAGCAGCACTCACAGCAACAGAACTGATAATTCCTATTTGCAAAAGGAAGTAGCAACAGAGGAGATATTACAGCAACTATGTGCAGCAATTGCTATTATATAAGAATATAGTATTCAAAGTCTTGGGGAAATGCAAGATGCGCTAAAAAAATCATAAATGAAGATTTTTGGCATGTCCCTTTCAATCATTCATCAAATAATGCAGACATAGGACACACATATAACAGTTAGTACTGCTTATATATCAACACAGAATACATAGCCATCAAATTGTAATAGACACTGATCACATATTAGGCAACACAGAATTTCTTCATAAATTCAATAAAGTAGAAATCATAAAAGCAGAGCTGTTTTTGAACCACAAATTCCTAATGAAGGAGAAAGAATGGTCATTCTGTCCCCACATAAGTGCCCTCCTCCAAAGAGAAAGAAAAAAAAAACCCACACAAGTATTCAACGTTCCTCTAAGATGCAGATCATGAATCAAGCAAGAAATCAATGTTAAAATGTAAAACAATTTAGAAGATGAATTAGGCATTCTTATTAAAAATAAGAATGGTATTTGTCAAATTTTATGAGGCTGTGAGAAATGGCTAAGGAAAAGCTCTGAAGAAAGAGTTTTATAGATCAATTTCAGCTCATGAAGGTGGAAACATTAGGCCAGCCTGGATGGCTGTTCCGAAGGTGAAGTCTGTGAGAAGGTGGCGGATGAGGCACGGAGCAGGTGCAGCGCAGTAACTGCTTCCTTGCTGGTCAGGTGAGGTGGGGCCTTGGTCATCCTGAACCAGGGGGGTGACAAGGACTATTACCCCCAGGAGAAGCACAAGCTGGAGCCAAGGAAGGCAGCTCACCAAGGCTGCCCCAGCAGAGCAGTGAAAACAAGCACCGTGGTTAAATATGCAGGGATCAGCAAGTTCACCATCCTGATGAAGGAAGGGGGCATCTCCCACATCCCAGGCCAGAAGGCCATGGACAGGAGGCCATTCGAGAAGAAACAGGCAGTCGTGGGACACAACTCTGTGGGACACACTGATGACCTGCACATGTGGACGAGTCCGGGGGTCTCAGGCATCTGTTCTCAAGGGTGGCCATTTCCACAGTGCCTGTGCCCTGTCTGCCTTGAAGTGTACAAGCACGGATGCCTGGAGAAAGTGTCCACGTGGATGTGGCTGTCAGGACTCGAGCTGCTGGAGACTTTTGGCAGCCGGGACCCTGGAGCAGGAGAAAGTACAGAGTGCAGGAGATGGCCCAGGCCCAGTGCTTGTGGGACAGGGAGTGTGGAGGGATCTAAAGTTGTAAGAATCAACGTGAGACACTGCCGTGCTGACAACACCTGTGCTTTAAGGATTTTTTTTTTATTTGACAGAGTTAGACAGTGAGAGAGAGAAAGGGTTTTCCTTCTGTTGGTTCACCCCCCAAATGGCCGCTACAGCTGGCGCTGGGCCGATCCAAAGCCAGGAACCAGGAGCTTCTTCCTGGTCTCCCCTGCAGGTGCAGGGACCAAACGCTCGGCCTATCCTCCACTACCCTCCCAGGCCACAGCAGAGAGCTGGACTGGAAGAGGAGCAACCGGGACTAGAACTCGGTGCCCATAAGGGATGCCGGCACCGCAGGCGGAGGATTAACCAAGTGAGCCACGACGCCGGCCCCAAGGATGTTCTTTTCAAGGGCAAGCTTTTACAA